CGCGCAATAAATATAATATGCACTCTAAAAACAATCGTTTCTTGATAAATAGTTTATTTGTAAAGTAAATTTATCTTCCACAGTTTATGCTACTTACTAATAAGGATTATTAAGCAAGAAGCGGAGATGATTTGAATAAATTAACACTTTTCACAATTGACAATTGGAATATCAAATATAGAATTTATACTAGTACGTGATTCATTCTTTGGCCTGAAAATTTTAATGCTTAATATGTTACGGACGCCGAATTATGGCGGGCTTTATGTGGTAGGAATTTGATGAATTAGCTAACGCATGTTGAATCTCCCATGAATATATCGGTCCACGAAGAGTACGCAGCTTGTCACCGCATTAATGAACATTCTAAAATATGGATGATCAAATATGGGTACTTGTTATACATTCTGCAAATGTTCATTGTTATACATACAAGGCATGTAACTGAACTAGTACTGGATTAGTTGAACTAAATCGACGAGGAATATCTTTAATTAAAACGTCATAATCATAATTCTTCTAAACGATTACTTACACTAATTGACGAAATACTTGTAACAACGATGTTTTCTCATTTTTGTTGGAGTGATCACCACTGAATCTTCGACATATTTTAATTAAAGCAATCATTATCGCAATTTAACATATTTTGTTTGGCTAAAAAAAGTCGATTATTTGGCCGCCATTTAAACTTTAATTTATCTTAATTTATTTTGTTCAACAGTTTTTTGAACTGCGAAGAATTCAAAAATGACTTACATAAATAATGTAATTGTGTAAATGTCACTGTGCATAAAGACAAACGATTTACGATTGTCCCCTTAGTCCTGTAAAAATATACCTATCACAGTATTCAGAAGACAGAAAACTGACGTTTCAATTGATTTAAAATTTTACTACTTCCGAGATTATAATAGTATGACAATACAGCTGCCCCAGTTAAAACTCCCCGGTCTTATTTATATCTTGAGAACGGATAGAAATATTTGAATAATATATGTAGCAAGCATATTACCTTAATACAGCAGGTATATTTTTTAACTGATTTTTACACACGGTTAAATTGTGATTACAATAATAATGATATGCAACATTTCCATATTTATTTCATTTTCATTTGAAAAAAAAATAAAATTTATTATATAAACAAAACAAAATAAATGTTGAGTGAAACAAAGGACTGCCACCATTTTACGACAGTTCGAACTTATGCTAAAGTGGATGGCTCAAACTAAAGAATTTGGTTCCAATAAGATAGGGTACATCCACATTTTGACGTGGAAATGAGAGTTTCTTGACAACATTTTCAAGAAATGGTGGATACGGCGACGTCAATTGTTTGAATGGCTGAGTGGCCGGCTCGTTCGCCAGAATTAGCGTACTGTGATTTTCTCGTATTTAAAAATCGAAGATTTACAGTAGCAGACCAAACAATTTGGATGACTTCAATTTAAACAGAAATGGGCTCCGCGCATTGTTCAAGAAAACGTCAATTAACGGAGTTATGAATTTTGTGTAGAACTTTATCAACACTGTGTGTGTGTAATATAATACAGTACAGTTCTGTTTATCGTACCTAATATTTATTACAAATTATTATGGTACTCGTATCATTATATATTAATATCGATTTATAGACTATTCCACACAGGTCACGTAATTTCCTTAAAGTTTTGTGTGTAGGATAATAAAATCAACAAATTTATTCCTATCAAAACGTTAATAATGTCATTTCGAAAAAGTGTTAAACAATGGTGTAAATGACTTTAGTATTTTATAAAAAAGTACACATATATACTGAAAAATAATAGTTAATGTTTGAGTTCTCTTTGGTATTGTTCTGAAAACAATTATATTAAAACGATTAATTAAAAAACACAAAACTTCTTATACTTTAATAAAATTAGAATAGGTCAAACGTTTATAAAATTTATATTGACATTATTTAGACAAAACTTCCCTCGCTTTTGAAGTACAGTCGGACAAAATACAATTTCTTCGAAAAATTACAAAATTTGATTTTACGATTTTTTTTGACTCATTCTGTATGTATAATCAATTCTAAAAAATATTAATGTACTGATAAACCATCAGACTTATATTTTGCACACTTTAGATAGGATTTGTTCGGCAAAATTTTCCATTTTTACTTCCCAAGCGTTAGCAAAGGAAGTATTGTAATCGAGTCCGTCGGCCGACTCTCTACTTTTACGTTTTCTTGATCTTTCATGACCCCTAGAAGACGAAGAAATAGGTCTCCCATTTCTGTCTGTCTGTCCGTTTGTCCGTCTGTCCGTCTGTGCGTCCGTCTGTCCGTCTGTCTGCCGTCCCGGATTTTTATTAGACAGATAATCTCCGAAAGTACTGGACCGATTGTTGTGAAATTTTGTACTTATATTAGGAATATCATGTAGATGGTAAACCGCTAACCAAAATTTGTCTAATCATCCCCACCACTAATGTGATGACGTCACTTCAAAATTGTACATAGTAAACGGGTTTTAAATTGTATGAAATAATATAGTCCTAAACATGCAGTTTACGACTCCGAATTAAGTTTTTACCCGAAACGTCTAGATTTTTGGAAAAAAAATCGAAATTATAAAACAACATTTTGCAATTTAATTTTGAATCTGCTAATCCGCATGTTTTGAAATGTTGCAGATGTTTTAAGGCTATAAAGAGCATCATAAATCTTTACTCAAAATATATTTGGTTATCCCCTCCAAAAACTTGATGACGTCAGCTCAAAAGTTTGCCACATAAATTCTATGTAAAATGTACAAAATATGATGAGTCTGTACTTGTGATATATCACTCCATTCATATTTTTTGGATTTGCATATACAGGGTGACTCAAAAAAATTAATGAATGAGTAAATTTATTTTACTGATTTACTCAGAAACTACAAAACCGAATGCTTTGAAATCTTGAAGGTGTTTTAAAGTTATCATAAGCATGGTATGTTTTTGATCAAAATGTATTTGCTCATCCCCCTAAAAAATTTATGACGTCACCACAAAATTTTGCCGAATAAATCCTATCTAAAATGTACAAAATATGGTGAGTCTCTTCTTGTCATTTATCATTCCATTCAAATTTTTTCGATTTCCATATACAGGGTGACTCAAAAAAATTAATAAATGCGTGAATTTATTTTATTGAGTTAATCAGGAACTACAAAACCGAATGCTTTGAAATCTTGAAGGTGTTTTAAAGTTATCATAAGCATGGTAAGTTTTTGATCAAAATGTATTTGCTTATCCCCCCTAAAAACTTTATGACGTCACCACAAAATTTTACTAAATAAATCCTATCTAAAATGTACAAAATATGATGAGTCTTTTCTTGTGATTTATCATTCCATTCATAGTTTTTGGATTTGCATATACAGGTTGACCCAAAAAAATTAATGAATGGGTAAATGTATTTTATTGATTTAATCAGGAACTCCAGAACTGAATGTTTTGAAATCTTGCAAATGTTTTAAGGTTATAAAGAGCATAATGAATTTTTAGTCAAAATATATTTGGTTATCTTCTACAAAAAACTGATGACGTCAGCTCAAAAGTTTGCCGAATAAATCCTTTCTAGAATATACAAAATATGATGAGTCTGTACTTGTAATTTATCATTCCATTCATATTTTTTGAATTTGCATATACCGGGTGACTCAAAAAAAATAATGAAATCTACTGCGAATAAAAAACATAATAGACATGCAGTCGTCACGTTTCCGACAGCGAGGGAAGTACTGTCTAAACTCTTTAGACCAATTTTTTGGGAGGTGATAAAGGAAGACATTTTGATGAACAATTTGCCATTCTTACGATAACCATAAAAAGTTTTCAAAATTTCACAGAATTCAGATTTACAATTTCAAAATAAAATAGAATTGTAAAATATTAAGATATGTAGTTTTAATTTTTGTTTTTTTTTCCAAAAATCTGGATGTCGAGAGTACAAAATCAGGACGGCTCCATAAACAACAAGTGTACGAGTATCTTATTTTATAAAAATATTACATTTACTATGCAACATTTTGAGGCAGCGTCGTCTCAATATTGGTGGGAAACTGGGGATGATTAGACAAAAATTAGTTGGCGTTTGCCATCTACACGATATTCCCAAAATACGCACGAAGCTTCCGCTTAGGAAAAAAATCTAGAATATAATCTATAAATTATAGTTTACTTTCAGTCTCTAAATTCAAAAATAAAATATCAGGGTTGCTGTAATTTCATCTCGGATTACTGTAGCCAATTTCGAATTTATTATGATGCTGCCATCTACTCGTTCGTTGTGATAATTATTACGTAAGGGCACGATAAGAGCGTGGTAAGAGCACGTAAGAGGATGAAATTGAAATAGAAAACTACTAACTTGTTGTATCAGACAATTAAAACGATATCTACAAAACGAAATTAAAATATTTATTAATGACCACAGAACAGACTACAAATGAGGTAATGACCTAACAATGAACAATGCAATGAACAAACCGAGTTGGTGTGACTATTTATAAATGATTAAAATAAATTTTTGTCTTGGCAATTCTGAATTTTTTGCAGCAATGCCATCCATAAAATTTTAAAAATGTTTCCAACAGTGAGGTGTTTCCACGCAGACAAAAGAATCACGATCATTCGATCACTCGATAGTCTCGGTACATGTAAATATGTACAAACATACTATTTACTGTATGTATTATGCCGTACAAAAACGACTTCAAATCGACATTAAAGCGTAAATTTGCTTTTATCAACAACTAATCTTACTTCTTCCTGTAGATTTGTTTTGCTTTTGTGCAATTACTTTTAAATTCAAAATTTCAAATTCATTTGCAAATATCAGTCAGAATGTCAATAACATTATACACAATAGTATGAATTAATAAACCAGTAAATAAAGCACATGCATTTTTCACCAGTTTCCTTTATACCTATAAAAAAAAACATGAGTCTGAGAAACAGGAAGTAGTTATTTTTTAATAAAACAATTATCACCTTCAAATATCTAGTCTAATACATGTTGAATATCAATTTCAACAGTCATGTGAAAATACACTACATACACTTATTTTATAAATTAATCACAGTCCTTAGAATTGTTGAAAACGTCAATCAGAAGGGGAAATATTTTGTGCTGCTGCTACTAATGTGTCATGAATTTCTTTTGCATATGCCACTTGAGCACTAGCAGTAGCAAGAAATTGAGGGTAAGTCAACATGTTCTCATTTATACCCAAATTTTCACTACGGTGAGGAGCAACAGGTATGTGTAAATATCGATTACTGCTTTCAGCTTGACCAAGACACTTTATAGAAGTTTTCTAAAAAATCAAAACCACAATAAAATATTTATATTACAAACCATAATACTTACCAAATGTAATTCTATTTGGTCACAGATGGAATAAAACTCCTCTAAATTCTTATCAAAACGTGGTATAGATACATCAAACCCTTTCCTATAAAAAAAAAAACAAGTTCAAGCTGCAATAAAGCACAAATAATGGTAACTTACAATGATCCAGCATCCACTTGACTATTGTGATTTAGTGTTTGCGCTGCTGTTTTTATAGTATTCTACAAGAGAAAAGATTTTTATGTAAGCAACGACAGCTTGCACATTGGACAGTGATACTCACAGACAGAGATTCTCTGAGGGGGCCCACTAGAGTTTTTATTTTCGAAATATTATCCAAAGGTGAAGGAGGTTGTTGCTGTTGTTGTTGCTGCTGCTGCTGCTGTGGATTGGGAGGTTGTTGCAGCATTCCCATGCCTACCACATTCATTTTTTAGTAAACTTGTTTTAAAAATGTCTGTACTATTAAAAAAAAATTATAAACACAACCTTACTTATGTCATAAACTCAATTGCTATTATGGCAGCTGTTCTACATTATTCTGTCATCTGTCACAATTGTCACGATGATCGATAAAACAGTGAGCGACTTGTATCTAGTTTCGATAAACAACAATAGATGGACGGAGGTAATATTAAATATATGCACCAAAACAGCAACTTTTCTAAAATTTGTTTTTCTATATCACTTTAAATTAAGAGAGCTCAACTTGTAAAATTGATCGTATATTATAATAATAGAAATGTTGCTATTCGTTTCAATTATGAGTGTGAATCGCTCATGTTGGGTATTTGCAGTTTCGAATTTGAGTATCATAAGGTCAAAATCATATGATCAATCAGCCTGGCATACATCTGACAACACTAATTCTGTGTTAAAGGCGTTGTCGTGGGTGCTTGTTCACTAAAGTCTTCAATTTTTGGAAAGAAAGGCCAAAAAAAGTTGCAACCATGGCATTAAGCGATATGGATGTACAAAAACAGGTAAATATTTAATTTACGACAACATACACTTTGCTCAGGATACGCCTGTTCAAATTACTCTTTCTCGTCTGGATCAGATTTCTAAATGTTATATGTATTTAATTTATTTAGATTAAACATATGATGGCTTTCATTGAGCAAGAAGCCAATGAAAAAGCCGAAGAAATTGATGCTAAAGCTGAAGAAGAGTTTAACATCGAAAAGGGGCGTCTTGTTCAGCAACAAAGATTGAAGATTATGGAATACTATGAGAAAAAGGAAAAGCAGGTTGAGTTGCAGAAGAAGATGTATGTATGTAATTGTCTGTAAATAAGCTGCCTTGACGCTGTCATGTGATTACAGTCAATCATCAAACATGTTGAACCAAGCCCGTTTAAAAGTATTAAAAGTGCGTGAAGACCACGTCCATAGTGTTCTAGATGACGCTCGCAAGCGTCTTGGTGATATTACTAACGATCAAACCAGGTACACTCAACTGCTGGAATCACTCATTCTTCAAAGTCTTTATCAGGTATATGTTTTAACTTAAGATGTGAATATGCCTTTTCTACTTTTTTTTCTTATTATTTTCTCAATTTTTTTAGTATTTGGGAATGAAAGACAAGGTATCACTTTATATTTTCCTTTTTTCCATGTTTAATATAGACAACTTTAGTTTGTCTCCTCACATCGTCCATAGTTTTACTACTCTAGCATAATTCTTTATAGCAGGTTAATCCAGCATGGGGCCTGGGCAGTCCACGAGTATTAACTCTATACTTAAAAATTTAGATCTTAGCTAGCATAGGACAATAATATAGTATAACATCTATTAACTTTGGTATCAACATAATACTAAAATAGTTCTCTATTCGTAGCTGTTTGAGAACACTATAACAGTGAGAGTCCGATCACAGGACAGAGCATTGCTGCAAGGAATTTTGCCTGTAGTTGCCACAAAATACAGGGATGCAACAGGGAAAGATGTGCATCTTAAAATTGATGATGAGAGTCACCTTCCGTCTGACACCACCGGTGGGATTGAACTCTACGCCCAAAAGGGAAAAATCAAGATCAACAATACTTTGGAAGCTCGTCTGGATTTAATTGCACAGCAATTGGTTCCCGAAATCCGTACCGCACTATTCGGGCGCAATGTTAACCGTAAATTCACTGACTAAATGAGACATTGCGGTTCATTTCATAAAAAAAACACACATTTTTACTGTTGATTCCAAGCATTACAATTACCACTCCATAATTGTAAAATAAATTGTTGCTTCGTGTATGTCATGTGTTAAATTATATAGGTTAACAAACTGTAAATGTAATTCCATTTCTTGCTTAGGTGAAATTAGAGGTTTCAATAACAATGTTATGTGGTGGTTGGTAAAACTGTGTTTGCGATTTTACAGCCCCATATGTAAATAGCAAAATTTATGTTATAAATAAATATGTTTAAACAAAGCTTCTTTATATATAGTAAAGTTCCAAGTAAAATTAAACATTTCAGTAATAGTCCCTAGTAGATTCTTGCAACAAGCATGCTTTTTTTTTTTTAATGACATGCACTAAAACTGGAAATCAGTTTTTCCAAATTTTGGCTAAGTTTCGGAAATGAATTTACATTTTCGATAACGATACCTATATCTTTACAAATGTTTTCAACAAACTGAAAGTACCTAGTTGCAAGTTGCGTATAAAAGTTCGTACATCAAGTTGGCGTTCAAATTTCGATAACTTTTCCCGCCTGATGATTGATTTGAATAACGACTACTCAGTTTTTTCGGTGTAATTTAGCCTGATAGGTAGGCAACCAATAATTCAGCTCCAACGATAGATCTGCTATCCATGTTTGTCTGTCTGTATCCGTTTTTATTAGACACGTAATCTCCAAAACTGATAGAATTACCCATGTTGATGACATTTTTTATTGGTCAAATTAAGAACGAGTCACCCCATTTTCTCGAAAATGTGGAAAATACGCACGTCTTTACATAATAATGAAAAAATAAGAATTATAATATTCAGAACATTTTGTTCGATTGTGGTTTAATTAATAATTTAAATAACTAACTTCTACGTGACATTCTTTTGATGTATAAACATAAATAAACACTTGAGCTTCAGATTGCTATTACCTACTGCTGAAGAACAAGGGGTGTTATTTATGCCTCAGGTTTACTTTACAGCGCTTATCACAAAACGAAAATCGTAAAATCAAATTTTATATATTTTTAAAGAGCTGTATTTGTCGGATTATACTTACAGCCTTCGATCAATTTTTTACTGATCAAATTAAGAACCTCACTTTTTAGATTTACTTATATAGGGTCACTCAAAAAAATTAATGAATCAGTTAATTTATTTTATTGAATAAATCAAGAACTGCAAAACTGAATTCTTTGAAATCTTACAGACGTTTTAGCGCATGGTAAATTATTATTAATCAAAATCTATCTGTTTATTCCCTCCAAAAAATTGATGCCGTCATCTCAAAATTTTGCCGAATACATTCTACCCAGAATGTGCAAAATATGATGAGTTTTTACTTGTGATTTATCATTGCATTAATATTTTTTTGATTTGCTTAAACAGGTGGCTCAAAAAATTAATGAATGAGACAATTTATTTTATTGATTTAATCAGGAACAGCTCACTCCATTTTCCCAGAAAATTTTGGAAATACAGTACTGTTATTTTTAGGATTACCCTGCACCAATCCAAGTTGATATACGTGCCCTTACAAAAATGTTGATGACGTCATCACAAAATTGTGTAAAGAAAAAACTCAACTCGAAAATGCTGAATATGTTGCATTGTACTTCAAGAGTGAGGGAAGTTGTGTGGAAACATCTTTCGACCATTTTTTGAAATTTTACGTTTCCGACAACGAGGGAAGTACTGTCTAAACTCTTTAGACCTTTTTTTTTCTTCTTTTTCTAGTCGCTCGGTATCTCTTGTACCGAGGCGGCTATATATCTGTTATCATCAATAATCTCTTATAATTTGATAAAATGCCAGTGTACAAAATCTGTGACGTAAACCTTAAAAACTTCCCTTGTGGCAATAAATACCACACTAATTAAATGTTTAAAAATTGATGGTGCAGATTTCAAAATACTGTGTAAATATGACAATTTTAGATTTTTATGTGATGGATGTCTCATTTTAGAGGGAACATCAAAAATTGATGAATTAAAAGATTCAGTTGATAATTAATGTTTAAATCTTATTGAAGAACAACACGATCATAATGCTTTAATATTAAAACAAGAACAAGAAACACTTCCTTCGGAAAATTCAGCAAGCAAGGCTATTAATTTCATACGCAAGTGTTGTTAATAAAAATAAATCTTCTGTTATATTACAACATAGTACTGTAATCAATCGGTATATGTTACCTGCTAAAAAAGATTTATTAAATCATGTTGATCTTGTTAAATCTACTGTTGAATTTTCATCTGTTAAAACTGGTCGAAATGGGAATCTTATCATAAGTTGACTCTGACAAAATTAAAAATTTATTTACCAAAAAATTATCAGATTATAACGTTAAAGAGTTGCCAACCTTAAACCCGAGGATAAGAATTACTGGCATTGATAACGATATTGTGCATGAGAATAGAAATCTCTTAAGTGCTGATAAGTAAACATGTATAGTAAGAAAATATACGCCTTTGAAAAATAATAACAAACGTATGCAAGCTCTAGTTGAATTAGATTTAACTTCTTACAACAATATTAAGGCTGTTGGTAAATTATTTATTGGATATGACTATTGTAAAGTTTGGGACGCAATTGAAGTACGTCGTTGTTACAAATGTTCAAGTTTTATTCATGTCTGACAATTAATTGCTCAGCTAAATCTCCTGTATGGCCTAAATGTGCTGTCCTCACCAACTTAAAGAATGTGAGCCAGATTTTCTGAAGTGCACTCACTGCAATTCTCTTAAAGAAAAGAACCCTGATCTTTGTGATAACCACGCGTCTCATGAATCTTATGATATCAATGCCCTGTGTTTCAAAATCAACTTACTAAGCTTAGGTCTATAATACAGGGTACCAAATAGCAATCACAGAGTTCTCAGTTGCATAACACTCCTACTACTACTACTACTACTTACCGATTATGAGTCCCTCTTTATCCAGTAGTTCGCTTAATTTGTCATTTTTGTTTTGTTATTACCAAAATGATATGGGTGGTAAAACAGGAGAATTTTATTTATCTTTAATCTCATCATATTAATTTAAATTAATTGCATTAACCGAAACTTGGTTAAACGATAACATACATGATGCAGAGTTATTTGATATGGCAAGGTATAATGTTTTTCGTAAAGATCGCAATTTTAAATCATGCCGCTGCTCAAAGGTGGTGGAGTGTTTCCTTAGATCATATAATAAATACTCAAACTGAAAGCTGTGACTAGACATGAAGCTATCTGTTGTCGTTTTCTACGTCAAGCGGAATAGTATAATGCTATCCTTGTGTGATCACCACATCTTCATCTTTGTTATATGCATTTCATCTGTATATGTCTATTTCACTTCCATCCTTGTACCGCACCAGCGCAACAAATCGCTTTTGACAGATGTTTCTTCTAACCTCTCTTTCGTGTTCTTGTACGAAAAACAATTTTAGAATTTAGAACAAAGATCCTGTTTTAAGTGATGTAATCATAAAGGATCACAATTGCTGCCCAATAATTTACTATTCCTTTCGTTATCTACTGTGAATTATTTATAAAATCAAGCTGTCAACATCTTTCGTACGAAGTTAGTTCAGACACACTTCCTCAAATTTAGGCGCGCAAAATTCAAATAGTGATCAGGCAAGGATAGCTTCATTGTAATCCCTCCATGCACAAGAGAGATATGTGACAGGAGGATGTCGTCACAGGCTCTTCTAGGGAAAGAACACGGCGTGGTGGTATCTATTTATTATATGATCTAAGAGTGTTTCTAGCTGCAGATCGTACCTACTATATCTGCTAGTATATGTGATAATTCTATCTACAATAACATCTATGACATTTTACCCCTTATTGATTTACTAATGGTAAAGATTATTCTGAATTCTCGTACTATTTACATTCTAGTCATTTACATACCTCCTCAGTGTCTTAGCAATGATTATATTATTTTTTCGATTTCCTTTTGTCCTTATCTTTTTTGTATGAGCCTCAATTAATTATTATCATTTGAGATTTTAATTGTCCAGATTTTGTACAGTCAACTTTAAATACAATACCATTGTCAACTTCGTATCAATGCATCAAAATAATCGACTTTTGGATTTTATTTTTATCAATAATGACACTCAATGTATTGTACGTCGATGTGATGATCCTTTATTACCGGAAGACGATGATCACCCCGCTCTTAAAATTGTTAGTACACTGGTCATTTCTATACAGTTATACCAAGGTTGATGATGCTATTTCTAGTTTATACCAGATATTAGATGAAATTTTTCAAGCTTATGTTCCAAAAAAAAATGTTTCATGTAATTATCCCGTTTGGTTTAACGGCAATGTCATTAGGGAATCGAAACAGAAAATTTCTGCTTGGAAGAAGTAGAATAAAACTAAATCTCCATACGATTATTCCACATTTGAAACTGTAAGGAAGCTTGCAAGTTGTACATGCAACAAATTAATCGTGTTAAATCCGATCCTAAAAGGTTCTGGGTATTTGTAAATGCGAAAAAAAATCAGAAAAAAATCTGATAGAGTTAATTCCTTTGCCGATCACTTTGCTCAATCATTTATTAACAGGAATCCATCTGTTAACCTAAATTGTTCCAGCTTAAATAAAAACTTATTAAATATTAGGAGCATTAGTGAGGAATGTATGCACAAAGCTATCAAAAAATTGAAACCTAAAATGACCAGTGGACCCGACCAAATACCGGCTTTTGTGGTAAGAGAGTGCAAATGTGTTTACTGACCCGTTGACTATTCTTTTTAATCTTATTCTTCAAACATGTGCTTTTCCAAAAAAATTGAAAATCTCTCGAATCTGTCCGGTTTTCAAAAAGGGAGAGAAAGCAAATGTGGAATATTACAGGCCATTAGCTATTATTTGCAATTTTGCAAAAGTGTTTAAAAATAGTATTGCATAATTTCTTTTCGAATCATATATCTCAGATGCTTTTTAATCTTGTTTCAATTAGGTACTCAATTTTTATGTAACTCATTAGATAACCAGCGTCAAGTCGACGTCATTTATGCTGATTTCATTTGATAAAATTAATCGTGACCTCTTTTACTGCAAAAGCTGGAATGTCTTGGATTTTCGAATTCATTATTTTTATTGCTAAAATCGTATTTAGAAGACAGATCTCTATTTGTAAAAGGAAAAGGGTTCAATTCAAAGTCATTTCAGTAAGAAACTGGCGTTCCTCAGGGTTCGGTTTTGGGTCCCCTTTTGTTTAAAGTTTTTGTCAATTATATTGTTGAAGTCATAGATGTGCAATCACATCTGTTTGCAGATGATCTAAAAATTTATAGTACAATAAATTCATACGACGATTCTCTTCGGCTGCAAAAATCTCTCGACAACAATTTTGAATGGTGTAACGTGAACAATTTCGAGGTTAATAAAAGTAAATCCTAATAGAAAGAACTGTTAAGATAGCAAAGCATCAGTTCATTTGTCACTATATTAAAGAGATAGAGTATGTCTATAATCTATTGGTTAGTATGTGTTTTCCGTCTGTTTTTTGACTTCGGATTTTAACACAAGGATGGGTGAAATAGCAAAAGACTGATGAAAGAAAAAAAGAGACAAAGAAGAAGAACAAAAGACAAGAAAGAGAAAGAAATGAGAACGTTAAGGGACTCAGCAGAAGTTAAAGTGTGGACATTCTTAAAGCACAACAAAGAAAATGATGAAGAAGGAGAATGGATTTGGAAAGCAATGGAGCAGTGGCAGTTCACTATGGAATCGTAAATGCAAAAGGGTGGGAACAAGTATGAAGATTTAAAACTGAAGATAGAAAGAAAAGAGAAAATATTATCATCCCGTGAATATTTTAATAGTTCTGATAATAATTCTTTCATTTATTACGAAAAGAATTTATGTGTAATCTGTAAATTTTGCGTTGCATTGCACAATTAGTATTTCCAAAAAAGTTAAATTAATGTTACGATGTGTTTTTTTTAAATTGTCTGTTGTAGATATGAGTTACATTTTTTCTTATACTGATTAAACAATTTTACATAGTAATTTGTGATCCATCTGAAATGGAACAAGGAGGAATTAGAATTTTACTCAATTGTGGTTCTAAGAAAAACAAAGTTTATCCGTTAGTAACACATTTATTTTGATTATTAAAACTGCTCTGTCATTTTCTTTGTGAAATACTTCTTTTGATAAATAGTAAGGCATTCATCAACTACAAATTTACAATTTACAAATTTCGTCGAAATATTAATTTGTCATGCAAAACTGATTTTGCTAATTGCTTAAGTATACCTATGTTAGAGACTCCGTTAAAAGTAGCATAATCTAAAATTGTACATCGGTAAATATAAGTTTAACATGCGCAAAAACAAGGCTGTTTGGATGAGTATGTTTTTTGCAATAGATAATAATAAAATGTGATATAATTGTAATGTAATTATTTCGATTATTCCCTTGTTTATGATGCATTTATATATATAAATTAAATTATATAGTCTTTATTTTATTTTTGAAATGTATTACTTAACAAATTTCAGCGCTGATGTCACATAATTTACTACTGTTACTGGGGCAATAAAACATTAGCAACATGATAAGTACCTACTGGAAGATAAATAAATTTATTTTCACAAACGAACTTTAAAAATTTTCCAATACCCACTAGTTATTTTTGTTAAAACTTTTCATTGGCTAATAAATATTTCATTATTTTTTAAGCAAACCCTAAATTAATATATAATTATAATTAATAAAAAGTCTTGTTTACTTTTGGTTTGCTTGTTTTTTAATATTACTTAATTGATATGTTGCGTAATTGCAGCGTTCGTGATCTTAGATATTTTAATCTAAAAAAATATTTAAACAACAAGTAAAATATTTGATGTTCTCTGTCCTTTTTCTATTTATCGTGCTGCAGGAGTGCAGGGAAAATATTAGCACCAGTATTTGTGTTTAGACGAGTCTAGACTCACTTTAAACACAAGCGCACTGATCGGAAAGTCGTGTTTGTTTACGTATCTCATCTCGTACGTGGACGGAATAATAAAATACTAAATTGACGAATACATTTGATTCTAATTTAGTGTCCACCATGCCTCCAAGCGGTAAGTAATAGCAGCTATTATTTGTTTTGTAAAACTTTAATAAAATTTAATCTTGACCTTAAATGTAGATATTAAGGTCATGAACGTTGGTGATTATTTAGCGGTTAATGGTGCTACACATAGATTACGTGTGGTATACTTTTGTATATTTTATATATTTTTTTACTGTCAGGTCCTGGATATGCTACCCCTTTAGATGCCATGAAAAATGGCCCTAGAGAAGAACTTCTCTATGTAGTCTGCATTCAACCAAATCAAACGAAGGACAAAACGGACCTTTTAGCAACAGTAGACGTCAATCCATTATCACCTAGTTACTGTCAGGTAGTGTTTTTGAAGCTGTTTTTTTAAGTACAATGTGCGCATTCGCTAAATGCATATCCTTGATTAATTGATTCGATAAATTAACTGGTAGATAGCTTATTTGGATCCAGGTAGTACTCCAGAGGAATACATAACAAAGATGTCATATATATATGACTTTAAAGAATTCAAGATCGTGTTTAGTATGTTTTAATTTTCAAATTTGCTACTTCATAAAATTTATAAATTTGCCACTACTTAAAAATTATTAACCTACTGAATTTTTGTATTACCACACAAAAACTGTAACATCTCCCACGAGTGAGAAAAGATCAGGTCACTCCACATATGAAATATGATTAACACAAATGTAAACTACTACCTAGTTTTCACTTTATGATGAAAGCAGTGATCGTAAATCATTTGAAAATTTATGCACTATTGACAATCTTATCAATTTAGTATTTTTTTTTATCAAAATGTATTTGTGAACAAATTTAGTTATCGCTACAGAAAATTATTTGTACATAGCAAATAAAGGAGACAATTTAAAATGAGAGGTACATATTGAGAATTTCATTTCGAAAATGAACAACCAATAAAAATTGTATTGATTTTAACATGTGAGAAAATACTCATAATCACACCTGTGTGGACTTTTATTACTTATTTCACGAATATCATAAAAAGTAATATTATTTCTAAATAAGTATTTTTCGACAGACAAATATTATTTAATTAAAAAAAAAAACAATCTATAGGTATTCAGACAGAAATTCGTTCGCTCCCGAAGTACTTAAACTCCAGTTAACCAAAAAGGTACTAAGCGCCAAATGCCAAAAAACGAGTTAAAGATTACACAGGACAGAATTTATTGTTAAAAATCAATGTATACAACTTTTTTGCTCAAAATATTTTAGATGGTAGTTTATGATAGAAGTAAGGGCCTTCTAGGATATCTGACATTATCTTTTTATCAAAAAAATATATATAATATAAAAAGCATCACTGAACCGACTCTTTGGTCTGACCCTTGTGAAGCAACAATTTGTTCTGATATTAAAGAACATTTTCAATTTTCAATGGACGTTTGATTTAGTTTTACCAAATTTCAGTTGTTCACTTTTTGGTTAAAGTGCTCCAACTATGAAAGCTAATTCTGCAAGTTTTATTTTTTTATGATAATGCTTGAAATAAAAATTAAACAATTAATTTATTACTTTTTTTTTACATCTTAAATATACATTAAAAAAATAATAAAAATACAGCACCAAAGCGCATACAATTTGCATTTTGACAAACATTTATTTAGTACATTTTTACGTTGACGTCATTAACATTTTAGAGGGTATTAATAAATATATTTTAGTCATTGTTTTGTAATCATTAAATTAGTGTTAGTAGCTTATGTTCTAGAAATAAAAAATAAACATACGTTACATGCAAACGGTTTCAATACTTTACGTAATTATTCTGTTACGTAATTTCAAAATGTGTTATCCTAATTAATTGAGTAGTTAACAACAATCGTCGGGATAATGAGAACTTACATCATTTAATTTAATAAGCTGCTAATAAAACACAAAAATAGAGCTTTTATAAAAGTTAATAATGTATGTACTTCATGTATAGGTGCTAAAGGAATAAATTAGACGAGTAGGTCAGAACTGTACAGTGTTTGTGTACAATTAATTATCACGTTTTGAATTTGAAACGTGAGCATATGGAGTTAAATGATGCATTTTATTGGAAACCTGTTATATTTTGTGGTGTTTAAACATATGTTTTTGTTTCTAATGTTGCAATATGCAACGAGTGTACACAAATTTGGAAACACAACAAACATAATACAATTATGGGAAAGAAAAGTTGACAGATGTTCTATCTGTACGTGTTTGGTCATCAGCTTAGAGAAAATATAACACTACAAATTTAATTTGACGTTTCCTGATTTTTTTTATTCTATTGTTACACTATTATCTATAACTGATTTTTTTAAATCGACTTTACACTAACCATGCGCGTAAAATTACACAACAATCACTCCAGTAGTTTTGGAGTTAATCTCTCTATGAAAATTACAAATAGACGGAACGGAAGATCTACCTCTCACATTCTTAAAGCTAAACTTGAAAAAAAAATTCATCCTGTACTATTTTAACATCTTCTCAAAACTTGGCTAGGACATGTTCTTTCTTTGCCCATCTCTGTTTTTAAATTTACGCACAGAGTAGAGGTAATGCTAAATAAAATAAAATTTATAGAACCAAATTTTGTAGATTGTCATAACAGACTTGTCGGAAATGTTCTTAAGACATTAATACTCTTAAAAAACTGTAGTTCCTTTTAAATACAAAAGCTACCTTTTTTTGCTGGATAGATTGGGGCTGTCGTGGTTTGTTCTATGCTTTTATGATGTTTCTGGTCCACTGTAGGTTAACTGATAGAAAAATACTTCTCTAGATAATCCATAGACTTCCAACCCAAAGACCTAACGATGAGCTTCATCACAGTGGTTGGAATGCTTGTTCAAGTTGTTATGATACTAAAGGCTGTTGCGAAGTTCCAGTTCGAGATAAGTTGATTTTGCCTGCTTTAAACTCCGACAGAATTTATATAGTAGATACTGGTAAAGATCCACGAGCCCCATCTATGTACAAGGTAAGATCAGTACGTCTTTCATCACTTTAGATTAATCTTATTATCTTGGAGGTGGTCGAAGCTGAAGAAATGCATCGTTACAACTGCTCGACTCCACATACAGCTCACTGCCTGGCAAGTGGAGAAGTCATGATATCTACAATGGGAGACGTTGACGGAAATGGGCAAAACGAATTTATCTTGTTAGATGGAAAAACATACGAAGTGAAGGGAACTTGGACGAAAAATAAAAGGGGGGCTTTCAACTACGACTTTTGGTACCAACCATACTTTGACGTAATGGTGTCGTCGGAATGGGGTGCTCCTAAAATTTTCAAACGTGGATTCGATTCTTCAGATCCTCTAGATACTAAAATTTATGGCCGGTCGATTAATTTTTATTCTTGGTCTAAACGGGAACTCATCCAAAGCGTCGATCTAGGATTCGAAGGTGTAACTCCTTTGGAAATAAGGTTTTTGCACGACCCTAAAGAACCTCAAGGGTTTGTAGGTTGTGCTCTAAACTCTAATATATACAGGTTACTACTTATATTTTTTTGTTTTCTTTGCATAAACTGTTTTTTTGAAGATTTTATCTCAAAGAGGATAAAACTTGGGCTGTCGATAAAGTTGTAGAGATACTTCCTAAAAAAGTTTCTGGGTGGGACGGGGAATACATCAACGGCATGATAACAGATATCTTGATTTCGCTAGATGACAAATATCTTTATCTCAACAACTGGCTTCATGGCGACGTTAGACAATACGACATATCAGATCGAGCTCATCCAAAATTAACTGGTCAGCTATTTTTGGGAGGCAAAATTTTGAAAGATTCAGATGTCAAGGTTTTGGAAGATAAGGAATTGAAAGAACAGCCGTCCCCTGTATACATTAAAGGAAGGCGCATCTTGGGTGGACCTCAAATGATGCAGTTATCTCTTGACGGAAAACGTCTATATATAAGCTCAAGTTTATTTTCTCCATGGGATCGCCAGTTTTATCCAGAAACAATAGAAAATGGCTCTACAATAGTAAAGATTGATGTCGGTACTGAAAATGGAGGCCTAAAACTTGACGAAAACTTTTTGGTAGATTTTGGAAAAGGGCCTGACGGTCCCCTATTAGCCCACGAAATGAGGTTTGTAATTGCAACAATTTTATGGACACTGCTATTTCTTGCTTTGTAGATACCCTGGAGGTGATTGCACATCTGATATTTGGCTTGCTCAAGATTAATACTATAAGCAGGGGATCTTTGTTTTTTATATTTTGTGTATAACATAACAGTACATTATATAAATATGCTTACAATTTCAAATGTTTCTTATTAATCTAATTATTTTATATCATAACATTTTTTGTTAATAAAAGTAATAGGTCGAAAGATTTATTTTATATTTTACTAGCAAATATAGAGAGTTAAAAGATCAGAATGAAAGGTTACTGAGATAGCTAGAAATGCTGTTTGTTTTTCCATTTACAAGAAAACTCTGAGAAACGCTTATAGCTTTCATTAAGCAATGTGGATATATGATATAACGGAACAAGTAAAGTCGAATTTTCAATGTTACAGGATAGCAAAAGTTGGTCCTCCTAGTAAAAGGGTTGCATGTGGTCAGTGACCAACTCTCGTAAAATCCAACATTATATGCAGAAATCTGTTCTAGGACTGACAGGTGTAAAATCCAGATGAGCTATTCAAGAATTAATTCCTTATACAATACACAGTAATCAATGTCCATAGGCAAGGACGATATTACAAACATCTGGGTTTCACTGGCTGTTTCATGTTGACTACACCGAAACCAAAAAGAATTAAAAAACAATACCTATAAGGAAGGCTGAAATTGTGAGAACCCAAACATCGCACCGAAACTAGATATGGGCAAAATTTTTAAAATCTGGAAACATTTGGCTTGAACTGTGATAGTCAATAAAGTGGAACCCTACGTTGTTTTTTTTTTGTTTGTTTGGCGGAATACGTTCAAACGCAAAGTGATCAGAATAAAATATGGAGTACAAAATTGTTTACTCCTCCATTTTTAAGTGAGAAAAACTGTTGAAAAACCTCTCCACCTTTCTAAAGAGAAATCAAATGTTGCAAATTAAAACAAATATTTGAATGTCACAACTCTAAAAATACAGAAAAGAAGTCGTTATTAAAGTAACTGAATACAAATGTACAAGTTATTACGATGGTGTGGCAAAAAATTTAAATTATGGCAGTCGAGCAAGAGAAGGACCACGCCAGTGAAAACAAACTATGCAGAGTGAGGACAGCATAGCGACAGCTGCGCGAAGGGTGTCTTCTCGTGAAGGTTTACTTACTTTAACTACAGTCACAACAAGCGCTATGGGTTTTAAGCACTCGCATTCCTGAGGCTTATTTTCGTAAATGGGGCAGTCGAGTAGACTCCTGGCTCACTAGGGTTAAAAATCAGGTATTGCAGATAAACATTCACTTGAAAACAACAAGGAGGGGTCTTTGCAAGCGATTCCGTGACTTCATTTCGAGTCAAGTTTAAATTTTTTGAATTTTGATAACAGAAAAATGAGTATTATAATTACAAGAAAGGAAACAAGCAAAATTTATTTATGCCACAATCACTTTACCAGGAATTTCAAACAACAAGAATTTACATGAGTTAAATTATTCATTAATTCAGTTTAATGATTAAATAAAAAATGTGTTCACAGAAGTACATCGTGGTGGACCGAAAATAAACCACACAAACAGGCAAATATTAAATATCAAAAATCCATCAGGTTTGGTGCGAATTCCAAACGTACGGCGGCAAATTTAAATTATGGCACTCAACAAGAGAACACATTTTTAACGAAAAACTCTATGCAGCGGGGCGCACAGCGACAGCGGCACCAGAGCGCTATAAGAGTGTGGCGATCGAACTATATCAATTTCATTCTAGAGCTTAGATCATATAATAAATAGATACCACCATACCGTGTTTCTTGAGATGCAGTTTTAGGCCAGGCGCCTCCCACCACTTTCCGTCAGCAGCGTCCGCTGTTATTGCTTCGCTTCGCCCGTCGGTGCATGTTCGCTCATTTTAATATTGGTGATTGGGATAGCAGGCATCGCAGTTGAAGGGTTTGATTCACCAATACGTGAGGGTTTGGCAGTCTTTACGCTTTAGTTATACATTATTTGTGGTTAATTGAAAAGAATTTTTATTTCCTTTTGTAATTTTTAATTATTAATTGATTGCATTTCGCCGCGCGACACTGGAGTGGCAATGATAATGAGGAGTGGGAGTTATAACCGCGTCCTTGAACTATTTTTGCATCTCTCTAATGATTACATCACTTAAAATAGGATCTTTGTTCTAAATTCTAAAATTGTTTTTTGTACAACAACTCGAAAGAGAGGTTAGAAGAAACATCTGTCAAAAGCGATTTGTTGTGCTGGTGCGGTACAAGGATGGAAGTGAAATAGACATATACAGATGAAATGCATATAACAAAGATGAAGATGTGGTGATCACACAAGGATAGCATTATACTACTCCTCTTGACGTAGAAAACGACAACAGATAGCTTCATGTCTAGTCACAGCTTTCAGTTTGAGTATTGGTATCTATTTATTATATGATCTAAGTTCTAGAGCACAACAAAATTACCCATAGGGAGCGTTGTAGCACGAGCGAAGTTTGGGTCTCCTGGCTGTTCTCCCCCCACGACGGTGATTCTCTAACGAGCACTGCCGCACAGCACACATTACGAACATACCGTACGGTCGCAAACTCGTGGTTGGGTCCCGGCTATGGGGAGAAGCCGACAGCGTCACGTCATCCCGACCGCCCCTGACTTTCATTCAAAATCTGCGTCTTTTATGCAGTTGGCGCGATAAATCCCACCAGCTCGAGTAGGAACCGTGCCCTCCTTTTCCGCCACGTGTTTCTATGTTATTTACCTCAATTCTCTTTAAATATTTAAATTCTAGGACTCTGATAATAAACTACAACTGAACAAGTGCCAAAGTTTAAAAAAGAGCAATAAACAACATTTGAGTTCGGCATACAGCCACGTGAAATTTTAAACAACAAAGAATTCTTATCTGAGATTAAGACTGGACCTCAGACAATTATATGTAAGTATGATGGAAGCGTTAATGAACAAAATATTTTCAAGAAAAAAAAATAGCAAAGATTTATAAAAACAAAAAAGATCTGGTGTGAAGTAAAACTTGTGCAGGCAAAAAAATTACGCGAGGTTAGAAACTGCAGAGCATGAGAATTTACGTTCAATTTAAATTATACAGCAAAGAAAATTACTGAGTGTAAAATTTCGAGATAGAGAAAAATTGCATGAGGTGAAAAAACAAAATTACATGAGGTTAATCACACTTTATCAACGATTCAAACAAAGAATTTACAAGAAGTTAAATTATGCCACACTTTATTAACGATTCAAACGAAGAATTTACATGATGCTAAATTATGCCATTATCCAAGTGATTGGTTACTTACCACAATTAGCTTCGAGAGCATGGACTGTCCCAAGCTTATCCCAAACAAAACACATGATAAATAAACACAAAATGCAGTGTTTGCGAGGAATGTGCGTCTCGGTGATATAATTTTCAACGTTGCGAGAAAAATGTCTCGATGATGTGATGAAGATATGATAATAATAACTGCCTAAGGGGAGAAATTTTTAATCCCTCCGTCCCTCAGTCCACGATATTATGAATTCTATCGTACTTTCACGGTCCTTTTCCCAGAACGGGATAACGTTAGATTGATTTAACTGCCGTAAATCAACTATTTGCAATCTTGTGTGAGGAATTAAGAAGTGTTATAATGTAACACTTAAGTATAATTATCCAGAAAGCTTATTTATAACTTGATAAACAAAGGATGAGTCCTGATTAAGTGAATCTCATGCAATCTCCCAGCAAGTGCTTTATCGGAACAAATTTCAGGACCGTTAAATTGTGTTCGAACTAGTAACGGTTAAACTCCTAACATGAACTGTGAATTTACAAATAATAAACAAATTTACACCACGCCTCGGTCGAAAATTCGCATATTTCCGCTTCAAAAAAGCATAAGAATTAGCTACGTGTGTTGGGGAAACTGTGTCGTCGCCATCGTTATGATTAATTTTCGTTACACAAAGGCTTCCCCTTTTTATTAACTACCAAACTAACTAACCTTAATCTAGCTAACTCACCACGTGGTTTAATTCACACCAAACAAACCAGAAGTGACGCCTCTCACTCCTCTAGCCACCAAAACAACTTCTACCAACAGAAAATGCCCTAGGAGAGCTACCAACTACCCAAAAAGCACTAAACTTGCACATGGTTAATTTAACTATTTTCTTAATGATTTTTTTTTTAATTCAAATTATTCAAATGCGATTTCGCCCCGTTGTTTTTTTTCAGCGCGAAATTTTAATTCAAATCTGGTTACCACAGTGTTAATGGAATAGTCAAACTTTTATTCATTTGACATTATTGAATCAGTAATAAACTGATACTGTACAAATTACACTCGTTGAGGTTAACTGTGGCTCCTAACCGAAACCAAGGATCAAATTCTTCTACAAATGCATGATTGCCTGCTTACGTTATTGGATGATTTTATTATTTTTAATTTTTAATTTTTCAAATGCGGTTTTACAGGCTTGTTTTTTTTTCTCTCTCAGGCGAAATTCAAATTTCAAGCTCAGGACACCACAGTTTTAAACATGGAGGAAAGAATATACCTAATATAATATTATATTCAGTCGTCCATGGGTTTAAATACCTAACTAAATGCGAACATCTAATGAACAGCAAATACAATGGTTTAAAAAAAAGACAGTTAAAGACAGTGATAAATTTTTAAAGATTTGCAAGGAAATCCAATTAGCACAAATATATGTCACTGACAGTAATTTATTGAAAAAATTCTATTTGTATGTAAAAATAGATGACTTTTTTGACCTTATCCCTAGGAATTACAGAAAAGATATTGTCAAAATTCCACGAAGAAGTTATGATTGTTGTCACCATTGTTGAAGAAAAACGCACCATTTTCTCTAGTAATCTGTTGCCACTAAGTATATAATAAAGACGAACACGATAACTCAAGGAAAATTGTTTATAACTACTTATCAACAAGACACTGACCATACTGAACCAACTGAAAAATACTTACAAACCTAAACAATACTGTCAACACACTGTGTCGATATAATGGAAGATGAAGAAAGATAATAATCAGGTCCAATAGGTACATAGCTAGTACTAAACTATTGGATGTGTGTTGTTCAAATCCTTCATTCCGGCCGTAATATTTTCATCGCTTTCCACAAGACCAAAAAAGCTCATCTCATTGGGCATTGGTAATATCGACATATCAAAATAAAATTATATATAATTTGTATGGAAGATACTTATTTAATACACAATTTAAACAAATTTTCAATTTTTCCTTTAGTTATCTCATACAGAGGTTTAAATTAGTATTAAATACAGTTTAAGAATTGTAATTGTCAAAATTTAAAAAAATATAATTTTGTATGGAAATATCCTGAACAATCTGGTCACTTTAATCGCAATAGATTTGTATCAGAAAGGATCGATTGGAGTAGTATAGCTGACTAAACGACTTGTGAAAGCTTTTAAGAGTCTTATGGTGATTGATGATTTTTTTAATATTTCTAGAGAGATTAAGTTTCGCTCATTACTCTTATCATTATCATGAACTTATTAAATGTGTTAAACTGCCAGTTTTTTATGAATACTTTTTTATATCAATAGCTCTGTTGATCTAAAAATATATTAAAATATTACTTTACTAAAATATAGAATTGAAATTTTAAAAGATAGACCTAAAAGTTTTGCCCCATTATTTTTAAATCTGAGCTTTCAGTTAATTCGTTTGTTGTTTCAACATTCATTTGGGTGAATTTTTTTCTCAAAAAATTCTCAGCACTTTTCGTCATGTGTCAAATAATAGCCAACTTCACTTACAAAAAAAGGCACAACTGTCAATATTTTGTAGCTTTGAAAGGTCTGTGTCAAATAGGTTCGTCACTTAGGTGGAGAATTACTTAGTAGATTTTCAAACCAGTTGTCAAATTTAGACTGCGTAGTGGCGCCACCACATGTATGATAAAGAACTAAATTTAAACCTGATGGAGAAATGGTTCGAAACCACCGAACCAACAGCGGTGAGCCAGCCGAGTCTAATCAGTTACAGATCAGTCAGTCGAGTAAGGATGGTTGGTGTGTGTAGTATAGTAAGAGGTGCGTGCGTTATTTAAATAATGAACTGACCTTTAATGTGACCTCTTAAAAACAGTAAACATAAAGTGGCGGTCATTTATTTAAACTAAAGTGGTACCAAATAAATTATATTCTTATCAGGAGTAATACATTCAAAGGTCAGTATGTCGTATTTTTATTTTATTTTTCTGATAAGGTATACAACTGACAGTAATAGAAATTTTTGTATAAATTGATCAAGCAGAAATGCTTGTGTCCTGCAATGCAGATATTCTTTAAGGAAATTGTACAAGCAACAAGATTATCGATATTTTTATGAACACACAATTCCATAAATAAAAAGACGAATCAAATAAGTCATCGACACAATAAACGACATATACGCCTTAAAAAAATTGTTTAAATTGCGTGGACTTTTTTAATCTGTGATTATTCTGGTACGCTGGACGAAGGCATGGTGGCTTAATTATCCATTGTTGCAGTTATGTAAATAATAAGATTTGTAAGCTTACACAAGGTACCGCTATGTTTGTTTTAATTACTGCCGTATCTTTTTATTTACTAGAAAACTTTTGAGGTTTACGTAGAACAATTAACATTGTTTTTAAAACACACCTAAGTTTAAAATGAGTATCTTCGTGCAAAAATGATCAATAAATTTGTGTTTGTATTCACCCCTTCAAATGTTAAGATCAATACTTGCACTGTAATTTGATCCGTTTAGTTTACCTTTAGTCCTCAAACTGTCCAAAGTAAATAATAGATTTAATCTCCTTTGGTTTCTGGTTTTTAAAAACATTTGCGCCTGTTACTTTCCGATTACATGGAAGTTCTGTTTATAGCTTGCGGTTATAACCCATTAACCTTGCATTTAAGATTTTCAGAATAATATTTGAATAATTAGTTGTAAATGATTGCACTGCAAAACATTATTATATGTTTATTAAAAAATAATTTACATAACGTGCCACTTTTCTGATAACATCTTACTTCTCAACTGTTGACGGTACGTCCACATAAATTTCGCATTTGTTTAATTAACAGTTAGGTGAAGGTGAAGGCTGGTTTAGCAATGCATTCAATTAATTTGGTAATAATTGCCACAACGAAAGCTAAAATTGCAATGGATTACGGGGTCATTTTTCATCAGTTTTGGTTTTCTTTGAATATTGACGTTTATTGTTGAAATACTATGTTAAATAATAATTATAATCGAAGTGATAATTACGGCAGTCGTATTGTTTTTTTTTGTCTTTTTGCCTTGTTTTCTCCGAGTGTTGTACAACGACAAGAAAAAGCGACAGGTGCTGCAAGAGGTAAAGAAATTACGTCGATATTATAGGAGAAATCAAAGCTTTTTCAACAAGTCGACGTGTAAGCCATTTTTCGTTACTTTTACTAAACATCAATCATACTCCTAGAAGTATAGAGATTTTCAAAACGTTTCATTAGGCTCGAAAATTTAAAAGCTACCAATTTGCAGTTGTAAGTACCTACGACATTTTAAGATAAGCTAAACCGAGATAGCGTTTTTACAAAATTTCAAATTTTTCTTAAACTACCATATTGTGTGACATATCGGGAGATAAATGGGATTCAAACCATATTTTTGGACTAGAGATAAAGGGATTTTATCGTGTTTGTATAAAATTTTCTTACCTATTCAATTCGAGATATAGTGTTTAATACCTAAATATTATTTCTGGGGCGCTTTTAAGTATGAGAAGTACTATACATATCAGCACCAATTTTTAACGCCGGATTTATTGTAAAATCATATTAATTTTGTATTGCTTCAAATCTCCCTTGAAAGCTTAAAGCAATAGTTACAATGAAGTCTTGTTAAAATTTGAGAAGAGCTTTCATTATGTAGGTGTATTTCTTAAAAATTTCACCGATTTAATTTCAGCTGAAGAGTCCTGATTTATTCAATCTGTGAGCTTCTATTATGCTGTTGAAGAGTACGCAAGTAAATTCTAACATCGATTCGTGAACATAAAATGACTTGTGCTTTACCTTGATGAAGCAGTCTAACTTCTCTCTTTAACAGTTTTACTCAGTACGATTACGTAATTCTAGGAAACATGGTATAAAATTATAGATAATTGATCACTTCTCTATTAATTGCAAAGATTGTTGTCATTGTTTTAAATCAGATTGTTTTATCAGTCGTCCTTGTTTAGCTTTTTGTATGTAATTTGTTAGGTAAACTGCGCATTTTTCTTATACTGCACTTTCAAACCGATAAATATATTGACTTAACAGTCGATAAAATTTCGAGATTTTAAATTTCCAAAGGTGTGTTCGGGTATTCCTGATTTGTTGTTTACTTTTATTTTTCCGTGATTTAAATTTTCAGCGTTTACGCTAACCTCCGGTGTTTATTCTCATCCCTCTCATATTCGCAAATAAATATTACTATTAACTAATTTATGCAAATTTTGACATTTAAAACCAAAAAACAGTATTTAAATTCATTATAATGTTCATGTTGTTACCTGCCAGACCCCAATTAGGTTGTTAATACAGATAATTTGTAACAACGTTATTATTAAGTAACAATTTTTTATTATAAAAGTTTACAAAATTCTTTACTTTTAAAAAAATCCTTCAGCAACTTTTACGTGTTTCTACTATTTTTGAAATTGTGTAAACCTTTTGATTGGAGTCCAAAAATGTGACGATCCAACACCTCTTGAAAGGCGCAAAATTTCTACAAATATCATAAAAATTAATTCATCTTTATTTAATTTAGTCAGGTTCATCGCTTGTACAATTAATAATAGATGAGTCTTGTTTGACCGTCAACATTGATTTTGGCATCAGCTGGGGTGAAAAGAATTCTTGGCATTTATTATTTACAAAAAGAAAGTTGCTCGTTAATTCGTACCACGTCAGTTTGAAATCTTATAATTAATGACCGATAAGTAATTAAGAGATTTATCATCATTTTTTATGCTAAGTAATTTCAGTAACAAATTATCGAAATTCATAAAATATGCCAGAACATTCGTGTTGTGCTCGCAAAGCGACTGATAACTGAATATAATGTATAGTTGGTTGTATTTTTGTAATCATTATAAAATAACGCTAGGCATGGGTAAAGTCATATTATAAAATGTGCAACGATAATGCTATGTAAAATTTGTTTCATAAATATGTATATATATTTTTTTCTAAAGTAATACGTAGTAAAAAACTACAAAAATTATAATAACGAAGTCAGAGAATAAATATTCAAGGCTGACTAATTGCACCGATTTCTCTTTTGACTCATCAAGTCTGCGAAGAGAAGAACCGGAGATCCCTAAGCATGCTCGAAACTGTAGTGACTTCATTCTCCATGACATTTCTCCATTCAGAGAAGTTGAGCAAGAAATAAAGTTTTTGGGGGAAATTTCAGCAAATACTCAGTTAACCCCCCCATCTGTTCGTGATAAGTGCCCACTGCAACTTCAATTAAAATGTTAAACATGATGTAACACGACGCAACTAAGCGAGAGCGCGTGCAAAGCATTTTAATTGTTCACGAGCCAACGACTCTTGTGGATTTAACGAACCCTCCCTCTTCAGATGGAAGGAAAAACTGCAACCCTAGGCTGTCGGACAAAAAATTGTCGTTTGGAGTGAAGTGAAATGGATTATCATCGAGAAACCGGCATCCACTTTTCTGCTTGTAAATTGTCCGTTTGCTCCACTTTTGTAATCGCCAAGAGATCAATTAGGACCACTTGTTTTATTACGAGTATCCCAAGAAAGTTGGTAGAAATCAAGCAAATGCTTCTTGAGAACTGACATTTTCAGACTGCAAACAAATGGGTGGAAGTTCGTGAATGAACTAGATGTGGACTTGTAATTATTGACAATATGACTTTCTAAACGGTTGCTGGAAGGCACATTGGCACTTCCTTTAAAGTGCAGCGCCGAAATTTTGCGAAAGTTGATTGATGATGGCCGAAATACGGAAGTACGGCGTGTTGTAATAAAATAAAATGTTTTCGGCTATTTGACCTTGATCTAGTCAATCAGCTGGGTTTGATAAAGAGTTATCAGAGTGAATCATCTGTCTACCTTGAGATAACCGCATGCCATGGCTTTTTGTTGAGTTCGTGGCGAAACGGTTCTTGAATTTTGGCGTTTCGGTTAGTTCGTAAATCCAAGAAACAAGATGATTAAATAGTTTATAAGGCCAAGAAAACACCTTCCGGCAAGAGATGAACAACATTCGCTTACGCATTCCAACCAGTTCTTGAATAGAAGAAGATGGTGTTGTAACGATGAATTTAATCGCGGCTTCAACAATCCCATCATGTAAATTCTCACAATATGTGGGACAAGATATTGGATCCCACAAGTAAATTATGTAAAGTATATTGCACGAGCACCGTTTTTATGAATAATTGGGACGTCAAAATGTTCATGTATACCATAATAAAGAATTATGTTTTTACACAATTACTTACGTAATTATTATTTATTGTCTGTTGTGTCCATTATATATTCAGTCTTGAATCCTATTACAACACTTCGAAATTATAGACTGCTTCATATGTCAAAATATGAACCAAACTTTAATTCTAAATGTACACCGACAAGGTGTACTTGTAATTTCACTTGATTACCTAATGGAAAAAATTCCCTTTGTTGCGTAGATGATTTGTGTTTGTGTGTCACTTTGATTAATAGACAAACATACCCATTTCGACTCCAGGAATGAGGATAAAGAACTTACAAGTTGAAACAATACGCGCTATTGATACTGCTGAGTTTACAATGTCATTGATGTTTTAAATAATTGTATATTTAAATCGCCTTCTTCATAGTACGGCTGAATACTAATGACTATTTTACTTCGCTAGGCGTGGTGATTTCGAGGAATTTTCGTTGGCTTACCTTGCCTTACCTTCAAAGTATACTTAGCTTTTGTCCAGGTAATAAATACTATTCTGTTATTTTCTACCTGAACGTCAATAACTTTGATGATACACCTGTTAAACAGGACAAGAAAATTTCAAGGGGAACCAAGACTGTTGCTCTTTCTCTTTCATTATTATCACTTATCAGTCAGGAAATGGTAGGTAGTCATTGTATATCCGTGTCAATATTTCGCGAACGTTTATTTTCTAAGAATGAAAACTTGTTGGTTGTAGATCGGACC